AATAAGCCACTTTCTATATCATTAAGCCACTACCAAACAGTAATGTATAGCTGACCAAATAAGCTATGAGTTCCATTAAGATCATTAAGTTGCTACCAAACAGACCCAGAGAGAGTTCTGTTTACAAAGTATACAAGTATGATTTGGACAACCAAAAATACAAGTTTTTCCATGTTTACCTCATTTTCCTCCATTTTTCATACCTTTATTTCTACTCACATCAAAAGTAAACAGACCAACAACCCTATCTACATTTCTCCTCATGCCGTATAAATTGGCACAGCAAATTAAAATATATAATACCATTAAATGGTCAAAACAAAGAGGCATAGATCCTAATTTTGCATAGCTAAAGAAAACGATATAATTTGAAAAATTAATAACAAAGAAACGCATAATTGAGAACCTTTGAATTCATCAGAGTTTCAAGTTTGTCGATCTGCTTCCAATAATCCGAACTTGAGTTTGACACTAGAATACAAAAAAAAGCTACTTATAGGATTCATTTGTTATAAAATAATAGGAAAAGTAATAGAACAGAAAGTACAAAACTTAAACAATAGTGGCATGCAATCCATCCACACCTTTTGCTTTCACGGGTGAAGCTGTCATCCCAAGTATTCTGGGAAGCTGAGAACCACCAAGATGTAACTCACGATGATAGAACTCCTAAATCACATTTTCAAAGAAGGTAAGAACATCTATGTGACAATAGTCCCAATGGGTTGGGCTCGGTGAGAATGGAAGTTATGGTGAGAAGGGTAAGAAGGGATCTCCACCCTTGGATCAATCCTAATTGAAGAGAACCACTAGATCAGCACTAATGAGAGATACCGGATCAATTCCCTTCTAACACGCAATTCATGGGTTGTTTCGGATTAAAAGTGATCAAGGGTCCAAATCCCTTCTTACACTTTTCACCTTACACAATCCTTTGTCTAGTACCAATTGGGGTTAAAAACTCAAGAAAAAAAGAGTTAATTGAAGAAAATTAATAATGATATTAAAAATATGATCATACTAAGACGCAAAGAACACAAAAGGGTGTAGAAACATAACACACCGTCATAATTAGTGCATATGGGTGTCTTTTCTTCGCGTTATGACATTCATCAAATATCAGCACCTTGATGATATCCAAGCTTAGAAATTTATGCCTCAACGCATCAAGCAAAATGGCGGGAGTCATAACGAGTAGCTGCATAGCATGATCCATACAAGAAGTAAATGAATTATGAAACAATGTACAATTAAATCATATATGAAGAATTAGTTTGACGTTTATCCCTTAATAAATTACATAAAAATACTAGATACTAGTATACTACACATGTGAGAATATGTGAAACCCCCATATCACTCTCCAAAATAGCCCTTGAGGAGAAAGGGRAGGTTCCAACATATATACATAAGAAATGGCCCAAGTCTAGCCGATGTAGGACTGCAACACACTCTCTCCAATAGAAGGTAGATGGACGCAATTGTCCCAGGGTGTCGAGAGGGTGTCGAGACCTTGGCTCTTATACCATGAGAATATGTTAAGTAAAGAGCACTAGAGTTCAAAGTTCATGACGTCGGAATTGCTTGATGGTAACTTCCGTCCCAAAGAAAAATGCAACGTTTCCTTTATTCTAACAATTTACCTATTTGCCCGTAAACATGCTCGAAAAAATATTGGTGAGATTGGTTGTGATCCACAAATTTTCTCATACGGTATTGTTGGTATTTGACCATTGGTCAAGGTCTTCTCTTAAACTATTTGTCAAATCAAACATCGCAGTTTTTGAAGAGATATAGTATGATAACTAGCTTGTTCAACAAAATAAGTCAAACAACCGACTACTCATACCTCATTTTCATCTTGCTGCTTCTTCCAATTAGCAGCATTCCAGTAATCTACCCCTATCTCTCCACAATATTCTTCAACTTTAAGATCCAAGTGCTTTCTAACAGCCTCAGCTTGCTATACAACATTTTAAGCCAACGCAACAATGAATTCAGACTCTCATGATTATGCTTGAAAAATGCATGTTGGGATCAAATTCATGAAATATGTCAAAGGGACATTACCTGTTTGACTAATACCACAGTGGGTACCAAAAAAACAGAAATAAAAGGTTTCGGTTTTCGGAAAAGATGTGCATAGCGACGTAGAAGCATAATGGCAATCAATGTTTTTCCTGATCCAGTCTCCAAGAACACTATCGTGTTCTGCTTCATAGCTTGCTCTAATGCTTCGATCTGATAGCTGATCAAAATTCACAAAGTATTGCATCAAGAAATAATCAGCAACCAAACAAAATACTTAAGTTTTTTTTCTTAATAGACTAGAACTTATTCTTTTACACAAAATTCCCATTATTCTTCTTTCGGGTTCGTCCCAAATTCTTGATCCCATTGTATAAGATCCCATTGTAATTACTTGACCCACATTTAAGATCTAAATTGYCCTTGCATTACTTCCACAAATTTTKAAAAAAATGGACATCCCTTCATCCCACGAAAATTGCAACATCTTTGGCAAATTGGCATATATCTAAAAGACGCTTTAATGTAACACAAAACAGAGAAATCTACTGGACTCAAATCAATACGTTTGACAAAAATAAAGCATTCCGAATTTTCATAGTACATGTTACAATTTTCATGACAGGGGGATCGCATAACATGAGAAACCTAAACCAACATTACATGATCCTCTCATATACGAACTCCATTTTAAGCCAGGAAACTTCAATCCAGTTTATCTGATCAGTATTTGTACTCAAAAGGTTGATTAATTCAGGTATCCTCTGTAACTTATATTCGTAATCGAAGAACTTCCATTCGAACAACTTGAACCACTCACAAAATACAGTCAAAAACATAAGTTTTGCTTTGATAAACAAGATAGGTTTCATTCATTTATACAATTTTCCTTCATGGTGTGGGTGCTCAAAAACCAACCAACCCAAGCCAAAAAAACCCAAAAAAGAAGTCATTTTTGAGTTTGTTAGACTTTTTCTCATTTTGATTTCACTTTGTGCAGCCCTAGGTTTAATCTTACTATGAAACCACAAAATTGAAATTGTTGAACTATGTCATCACTAGGTCCCCTAAAATCCCATAAACAACCACCATCACCGCACCGCCACCACCACATTTCCGGACCAAACAATCAGGACCCATAAAGGGACTGATATCAACGAAACGCCAATTAAACTGTTTCACTTCATCTGATCAAATACAGATTGATTCAATCCAAGTAATGTTCATACCTTATAAAATCAAATAATTATAACAGAAAATTTTATTAGGAAAGAGAAAAACACTCTACACCAAATGGGTTTCTCACCATCTCGCAAATGATAAATGATCAGCAGTTTGTTCGTCATTGTTTCCATTTCCATTGCTCGCCATTTTCTCCTATCGGTCTTCGTTATCTTCGACAAAAACCAAACAAAACGATGAAAAACCCAGTGGAATATGAAAAGGAACGAACCAACAATTAAAGCAGAATACAATCAGGGGTTTAGAGAGAGAGGAATTCCAGTGGGTTTTAGTCGAATAGCATTCAACCAGAATAATTCTATGGCAATTATATCTGCAAAACGATTCGAAATTTGAATACAGGGACTGCTGATTCTCTCTCTATCTCTCTAAGAACACGAAAAGTATGGGAAATGACAGATTGGAGAACACGAAAAGTATGGGAAAGGACAGATTGGATTTTTGCGGGTATTCTGCTGTACCCTTTTCTTTAAATACGTAATGCTTCAAAATCCCACAATTTTCTGGTTCCTTAACCCTCAAGATTGATATAAAACATCATCAATTTGTTATCTAAATAATCCAAGAAAATTTATTTGAATCGATTTTGAAATCTTTTATTTGAATTCAAATCCGGTTTTCGAAACAAACGATTTATGCATTGAAACGAATGATCAGTCAGTTTTTTGATTTGTTACATCTTTAATAATACAGTTTAGAAATGTAACAGAAATAGTTGAAGTTAACTGATTAATACCCTTTTCCTTGTTTTTTATTACTTGCTTTGATTTTGAACAACGATGATGTGTATATCTGTATGATGATATAGAAATGATGTTATGAGATCAGGGTTTAGAGAAATACTGACATGTTGAAGTGTGCATGGTTGATTGGGGGTACTAGCAAACAATGGATTGCGGTGGACAATATAATGAAAAAAGACTGATTGTGATGGATTTCGTTAGGTTTTAGGTTTATATATCGAGAACGGCAGTGGTTGGTATACAGCTGGCGGAGTTCGTTGAAGTCAAAGAAAAAAGGAGAAAAAAAAAGGTGAAGAATCTTATATGGTAGCGGTTTGGAATGTATGATATCATAACTTTTTCTTGTAACGGTAGGTGTATAATGTCAGTGTTTGTGTTTCAGATTATAGTTCACAACAGTTGTATGGTGTTGAGTTGTAAATACTTGTTTCAGTATAATTTATTTATCATTTTTTTGATGTGAAACGAAAGTGACACGTAAAAAAGTTTCACATTGTGAAAAAAAATTCATATGAAGCAAACACATTGTAAAACAAATATATATTAACCAATACATTAAAATTAGCCTTAAATGGGGAAAACTCATATGAAACAATACCTTAAAATTTTTCACAGTTATCACAACATATGGAGTTCTTATTTTACAAATAATATTGAGTTGGATATCACATCACTCGCCACATCAGCAAGGGAACTAGTCAATGCTTCAACCGATTACCCGGGTACTTAAATGTTTAAAATTTTACATCTTAAGTACCAAAATTAAAGTTTTGAAAATATGTTTCCTAAAATATGAATCAAGTTAAAGTACATTACTTTTTCATGCAATTTGCCTTTTTTAATCATATTCTTATCTTGCTCATGTTGTAAATAATAAGAAGAAAAAAAAAGATTTAAGGGTTTTTTTTTATCAACTCCTAATAATGAACAAATTAATTTTTTCCATTTTTGATCTCCAAAATTTCATCAAGATTTAGAGTTAAAAATCAAAATCTTAAAAAGAAATTACATTAAACTGTAACAGATTATCCATTTTGGAGAGTACAACATTAATTAATTATACCAATGGGCTTTTGGTCTAGCGGTATCGTAGTCTTTAGTATCCTAGCAGATCAGGGGTCCAATCATTACCATAGGTGGGGAGGGTATATGAGTTTATTTGTTGCATTTGTCGTATATTAATATTATATACTTTAAAAAAACATTAATTAATTATTAAAATATTTAATTACATTTAATAAAATATTATTTTTATTCTCTCCGAGACATTTAATTCTAAATACTTTCATTGGTGAAAAGAATAAAATATTTCTCACAACTTTATCTTCTATCTCATATTCTTTCCATTTTCCAAAAGGTTTTGAATAATAAGTTGTTAGAGCAGAAAAAATCTCAAATTGTGTATTTTAGGGAATCTGTTGAAGATGCTTTAGCACACTGTTAACCAATTGGAAAATGTTATGAAGAATCTGTTAAAACATAAAACCAGTACAAAACCCCAAAATGTTCGTATTTTTTTTTCATTTTAAGAATTTGTTACAGATGCTCTAAAATGTTGATACATGATAAACTATTTTACAAAACCTATTGATGGAAAACAAAAACTTATATAAAATCCTTAAAATCTTCATTTTAAACAATCCTTTGATGTTAATACTGACTATCATAACCACAAGGATGATGTCTGATTGGTTTGAGCTTGGACTCAAAAGGTCAAAAGTATTTGGAGGTCCCGAATTCAAATCCAGTAAGAAATAAAAATCCCTATGTGGCTACGGAGGTTCAAAAGCAGTGACTCTGGACTACCCGCAAAATAGGTGGTTGGCTTAAAATTAGTCGGTTCATATAGCAGGTTGGATATCCTATTATACATACTAGAGGTGATCAAAAACCTGATCAATCAAAACCTACCCGACGCGGAATAACTCAACCCGAAGCAACCCGATGTGTAATCAAGTTGTAAATTTTTTAAACCGTAGGTATTTGGTTGATATTGGGAAACTATTATTTGAACTCAACTCAACCTGATGAACCCAATATCATTTTATTTATTGTATTTAATATGATTGTTGAAATTTCTGTTAATATATACATTAGACAATTACACTATCACGTACGCTCTTCATATACACGTATTTTCAATCTACTCACGTATCTATATAACTCATTCGTATGTATGTTCAGTAACCGTGAACATATATATGTAAATTGAGAAAATTAACTGAATATGATATACGTAAGAAATATAAATAAGTTGTATCAAATGGTTGATGATGAAAAAAGAAATTATGAGTAGAGAAATAACATATTCAAAGTTTGAAAATTATTTTAATGTACTAACCCGACCAACGCGTACGGTTTGAGTTGGGTTGAGTTGCAATTTGGTTTGGGTTGGGGGTTGGAAGATATTTGTTAGCAGAAACTATTTATATTTTATACTTTTGTAAAAAAACTATTGTCTTTTATATTTTTGCACTATTTTGATCGATTCAAATTTTAGACTACAGACATAAAAACAAACAATCTTACTGGTCCAGATTTCAAACTTTAAGACTGCCTCTTATAAATTAGAAATGAAATAAGATTTCAGATCTTAACACCTCTTAAAAAAACAAACACCATCTAAAAGATCAACGATAAAAATAAACTGGTTTTGCTTATACGTTTATTTGTGAACGTTTTGGTATATACCAAGATAACAAAACTTTTGGTAGAGTATTTGGACGTGCAGCTCAGTTGGTAAAATGACAGAGCGGTATGAAAATGATTATATTTATACATATTTAATACATTAATTGTTTATAAAACCTAAAAAAGCGGTATGAAAATGATTGTTGGGTCAACAAAACCGAACCAATTTGATCCTCACAAAATTTGATCTGTTTTGAACAATTACAAGACTCATCCGACCTGTCCACTGTGTATGTGTGTGTGTGTATATATATATATATATATATATATACGTATCTAACGAATCGAGTCCACTCATAGACCTGGTATGTTGCAAGTAGGTGTGCAAAAAAATGACTAACCCGGCCAACCCAACTCGTAAAATCCCAAAAAAACTAAACCTGATGTAACTCGACACGTACTTGATAACTTGATACAAAACTAGACCAAACTGCATCTGTTGGGTCGGAATTGAGTTAGGATAATTTGAACCTAATAGAGTAAATTACGTTTTCGTTCATATGGTTTGTTAAAAACTGCCTTTTCGGTTCCTACGACTTTCAAATTGCGGTTCTCGTTCCTATAGTTTGGACATCATTACTATTGTAGTCCCGGAGATTATTTCTTACTTCTAAGTTTTAGGAACTAAAATAGCAATGATTCGTAAACCATAGGGACGAACGATAAAAAGTTTAAATCAGAAGAACAAAAACAACAATAAATTATAAACCATAGAGATAAAAATCGTAATTTCAAAATCACAGAGGTGAAAATAACATATTTTAAAAAACTACAGGGACGGAAAATGTAACTTACTCAAAATAAAATCAAAGAGTAAATTACATTTTTCGTTCCTATAGTTTGTTAAAAATTATAATTTTCATCCTGTAGTTTAAAAATTGCAATTTTCATCTTTATGGTTTGTAATTTGTTGCTAGTTCTGTTCATATACTAATTATTACCTTTAAGTATAAGGGATTAAAATAGTAAATGGTTATAAATCACAGGGAGCAAAAAAATAATAAATTGTAAATAATAAGGACTAAAATAGCAATGGATTACAAATAATAGAGACAAAAACTGCAAAATTTAAACTACAAGGACAAAAATTGCATATTTAACTAAACTACAAGGACTAAAAACGTAATTTACTCTAAAATCACAGTCAGGCAAAGGCGGTTAAACCGATACTTTCATTTGGTATTGGACTCATCGGAGACGCGGATCTCCTCCAAGACGACGACGTGGCAGAATCTCTGCACTCAGTGAACCTGAAGAATGATGACGATCATCTTCTATTCCGTGATTTTTGCTCTGATTGCTACTTTATCACACAAATTTCTCACAGGCGATGGTAATTACACATTCCTTTCCCCCTTCCACTTGTTCAGTTGTTCACCAACGATTTGAACTTTACTTTTTGTTATTTAGCTGATGCTGAAGAATTCTTAAACCTAGTAATCTAGCCAAGAACAAGTTTCTTGTATTTGCAGCCTAAAAAGTTTTGGTACTTGCTTGCTTCCAGATTCACTCGTACAAGTAGCTTGGACCAAAAACTGCATTTCTTATTGCCTTTGGTCTTAGTATGCCACAGAACTTCACCAGAAAATTGGAAAGAGCTCCCGCTGCCGCCACCGTCAAAAGGTCGAGCTGACAGTTCTTTAAAAAGCAGGACAAAAATCGAAGATAATAAAGCTGAAAACAGATTCAATTAACTAAAACCAAGCCCTGAAACCAAAACCCATAGCTACTGAAATAGAAAAATAAATTGAACCCAAACCAATGAAGTTGAAACTGATGCCCAGGGCCCAGGATTTGAGATGACCGGGATGATGCCAAGAGTCTGACAATAGAAGTAGCTGAAGTAGATGAAACTCTGGTGAATGGCGCCAATGGGACGAGTTGGCTGGGAAAGAGTGACCAGGAAAGCAACACGTGTTTGCTGTACCTGGAACATAGTCAAGGAAAAACTTGAATGAAATTCACAGGATATTTGAAAGGAAATCGGAAGGGGTGACCATCTGGACCGCCGGCTCAGAGCTGGCAAGCTGAAGTGCTTTAGGACAGAGAAGACAAATTGGTCCCGAGGGGTGTGGCTGATAAGTGTTGCTAGTTCAAGTTCTTTGTTTTTCATTTTCTCTTCTGTAATATCTTCATGGGGTTGCTTGGCTGGGTTTTGTTCAAGTGATAGAAACTTGCTTAGGATAACCAAGAGAAGCTAAGTGCTAAGCTCACACTTGTGCATTGCCTAGTGAATTACCACCGGGACATCAACGGGAGGGTGTAAATTCGTCTGCTTGGCTATGGTTTCCTCAGTCTTTCAAGATATATATTCTTAGGTTGGCTTCAACTTGAAATTATGATTTGATGTAAATTTTTTAGCTTCATAACTTGCAACTACAAAAGCCAAGATTACACTTGAAATCTTCTACTACTTGATCTGCTCCTCATTCTACTGATGTGAGTATTGTACCATATTAATTGGGCTAAGATAAGGCCATAGTTTACTAAAATGATTTCACATGTCAGAAAAAAGAAGATATATACCCAATCAATGCTCCACTATACTTTTTAGACTAACCTTGAGGGCCAGGTCAACTGGCAAATATAGGCTAGGCCTTGGGCTCCTCTATATAGGTTGCTGGTTCGAGTCTCCTCAAAGCCACTATAGATTCTTCTGGCTGTTATGTTCAGTCCACAATTAGCTATATATAAATATACTTTTTAGACTTCAAATTCCGAGAATCTACCTGCAATGTTGTCATGAGGAGGAGGGGAGAGGAAGACACTCTGCAGTTTACTTGCATCAGTTCTGTATAGAGATTATAATATTGTTGAGATCATGTTGAGCATTTAGTTTCCTGACTTCCTAGTTATTTTCCGAGCAATTGATAACTTTTAGTTTGTCATGACTCCCTTCTTCTCACAAAAAGTACCATCGCCTCGATTGATAAGTAGGATAGAAGATATAACGAGAACGAACTGTATTTCTACGTTATTGAAGTGTCTATCCTACTTGTGCACTATATCCTGGAAATGGCTGTTGGTTGGACCTGCTTTTTGGCACCATTTAAACTATCTATTCCATCTTTCATGTTCATTTTGTATGCTTCCAATTCTCTATCTTGTGCTCAAACAAGTTGCAGGTCAAGCATAAATAAATCCTCGTATGCTTAATTGATGTCCTGAAGGAGCAAAAAAGATTTGAAAATTTATGTTCCATCAGCAAGTCATTTTTTCATGGTCATTCAAGCTAGGAAATGGATTAGTGAGAGATGGGGTGTAGAAGGTGGTTATGGTTTAGTAGATGTGGGAAGCAGAATGGTCATGTCATGCAATCTGAAGAAGGTTAGCTGTAATGGCTATCAGCAAGAAAGTTGGGAGTGTGAGAAGGATCATCAGAAAACCATTTTCTCTTTTGGTTTAGTTACTGGATTGTGTTAGAATCAGTGCACTTTGACTGGTAATTAGCTTACTGGACAAAAATTTGATCTAACTACCCAAAAGAAAAGGAATAAGAAGAGAAGATCGATTAAATGACAAATTATAACAGAAAAATAGTTAGGTTGCCTCTATCAGCCTATCTGTGATTATGGCAATGCTGATGAAATTAACGAGAACAACTAGAAGCTATTATGGATATCTAAGAGACGACATGTTGGTGTAAAATTCAGAATTGTGATGGTCATGCTTATCTTACCATGCATTTTCTTATCATTTCAGCTTTACCAAAAGGGAATCATGGTAACGGTTGTTTGCCCCGGGCCAATAGAGACATCAAATGCACCTGATACGAGCACCTCTGGGCAAAGGGGAGTCAGGGAGGTTAGTTTTATATATTGTGATGGTATACAAAATATAACATTGATAATTTCCTCCTTTATTTCCCAATAAGAGATTGTTAATGTACACTGGTCTAATTACGTGTAGAACTGTGTTCCACGTAAGCTGTTTACAAGTTGCACATGCTTCTGATTCAGTAAGAAACTAATGCAACTGTTTGAAGTAAGTTGCAATGCCAGATTAAGATGTCAAATACTAAAATGGGAATAGCTTTTAAATCAAATGCTTGATGTGTGGATAATATGAGAAACGCTGTATGTTTCGCACTAAGTTTTTGGATGCTATACCACCTACGGACCCAGTGTAGTGCATATTCGTTCCTCCATCGTAGTGTAAAAAGTTATAGGGTCGTGAAAAGGGCCACCTTATCAATTTGTTGTGTGCCACCGTATATATTTTGAAACTACAATGAGGACACAAGTTTCCCTTGATAGAGTTGGTTTGCAAGGCTTTTCTTCCACTCCGACCTGAGTTCGAATCCCATTAGCGTCATTTTCTTAGTTTTTAGCTTTTAATTTCAGATTTATTATTACCCTGAAATTTTTTTGCAATAAAAACTTGAACACAGGACCTCATATATGAAAAGCAATGAACTAACCAATAGACCAATGATGATTTTGTGAAAAATATCCCTATATTTTGTTTCTTATAATCAGAATGGTGCCACCACTTGAAAAAATTTCAATGTCCGTCTCTATGCTAGACAAGTTCTGAATGTACTAGAATATTCTGAACCTGCCTATTTGTTACTGAAGCCTTTTGGATCGGCTAAACACACCTACACACCCTCGTTAACCTACTACCGCCTCCTACAAGGCCTTAATTTGCAACCTYAGTTACTTGAGTTTGGTTGTTCAATAATTTGGAACTTCAAAGCGCTGCAATTCTATGATGCTAAAACTGTTCACTGTGTTTCTCATTAGAAACGAGTATCGTCAGAGAGGTGTGCAGAGCTTACACTAGTTGCTGCAAGCCATGGTCTGAAGGAAGCTTGGATATCTTTTCAGGTACTTGTGTCGGTATTATGAGCAAATTATAATTTGCAGACATCTACAAATATTGTTGGCTTTAAGCTGTATTGCCATATCCCTATTATTTACATGTTAAACATATTGTTTTGAGCAGAGGCTATGATTATTTGTCACTTTGTCCCATACTTCTTCCACTATTCTCACATGGTATCAGAGTCAAGATCTACCACTCAAGGACTCGACACTCTGGGACGTTCTATTCTGTCTAGCCCCCTCTCAACACTCTGACAATTCGTGCTTGTCTAGCCTCCTTTGGAGGGGCCGTGTTAAAGTCCCACACCCGTTACACTTGAAACCTTTAGCCTCAATATATGTTGGAACCTCCTTTTCTTTAGCATGCAACTATTTGGGAGAGTAAGCTAACGGGTTCCACATATTCTTACAAGAATCTAGTTATCTTACTTTTCTTAAAGCATGCATGATTTTATCGATGCAACTTTAGGGGCTGTTTACCAAATTTTCTATTAAGTCCTGTATGGATAAATTATTCTGTTTGAATAAATTTGTCTGTCTAGATAAACATGCAGTGTTGTTTCTTTTTTCTTCTGAATCAATGATCTGAATGGCAAAATTGACCATTTTACCCTCAATGAACTGAACATTCTTTCACATCATTAAAGAATTCCTGCTAATGAAAATGACTAGGGTTTTCAGAGGAGAATACTCCAATCGACCTAAATTTACAAACCTTAGCGAATTCATTGACGATCTCCGATATGTTTGATGATCTCCAATATGTTTGACGATCTCCGATATGTCCATTCAACCTAAAAATCCACCAACAACGAGTGACAGAAAACCCTAAAAACCCACCAACAACCAGTGACAGAAAAATGCACCGGTCTAAAGAACAGGTCTAAAGAACCCAAATCCAACTTTCAGAGCCGAATACTTGCTCCATGAACTGTTTCCAGAAAGATTCAAAGTTGTTGAACTATCAAACAAAAGGGTTATAGAGTGAATAGCAATGAAGGAGATGATGGTTGCAGAGCTCTGGAGAAGGGAGCTTCTGTACGGATGCAGAGCAAGTTTTGAATTTTTGGGTTTGTTTTATTAGGGTTTTGAAAGGAGAAATCGATATGTTGCTGAAAATCGAAGAAGAAACCGAAGAAGACTCGATGGAAGGAGAAATCGATCTGTTGCTGAAAATCGAAGAAGAAACCGAAGAAGACTCGATGGAAGGAGAAATCGCCGGTAACCAGAAAAGAAGAAGAAATCGACAGAAAGTAGGCGTGTATTGAAGGAGACTGAAAGGAGGTGTGTCTTGAGGAGTGTTCATGAAAACTTAGGGGTAGGTGGGTCTTTTTTTTTTGCTGAATGCAGACAACAGCCCATATCCATCTGTGTGAATAAGTCATGAACTGTGCGAATAAGCTCCAAGTAAACACTCAATTTTAACTGTGCGAATAAGCCGGAAGTTCAATTAAGCCCATTAAGTCATAAGTAAACAGCCCATTAGTGTTATATCTCAGAGAGTTTGACCATTGTTTTGTGTTTGGGGGTTGTGAGGTTACTCATAATTACTGGGGTACATGTAACAGGGTGCTTAATCAAATTACTATATTAGCTTCTCACTCTTATGATCCTTTTTTCACAGGTGAACATAGTATTAGAAAATATTAACAAACACAAGAGAGGCCACACAAGAACTGCTCACTCTCTCAAGTATTTACTCCTGTCTTAAACAAGTCAATGGGAAAAATAAATTCTTTTCTAATTCATATTTGATTAGTAGGCCACACTTATCATAGAAACTATAGTTTAAGCAAKAGGTTTACATAGAGCAATATTCTGGTTTTTTGGTTTCTGAGGACGCATCTAAGGACTACGATTATATGTCCTAAAACAGGGCCATGAGTTTGGTTCTCTCTTTCCCTCATGGTCCTTGAAAACTTTTTGGATGTCATAAGAGTTMCTATAATTGTTTGGTTTTCTTCAGCATATACGTAAGGGAAGAGGATCATTATGATAATTTATGTTGCGACGACATTACCTAATGGAGATGGTCAAGAGAGCATTGCAGCATTGAAATTCTTCATTCAGATAAAAAAACCCAGGGGATCTGAAACACTTCCTAGATGTTGAAGTGGCCAGATCCCAAAAGGGCTTTTTTTTATCAAAGGAAATATCTGGTTGCTATTCTTCCTGAGGTTGGCGTGTTTGACTATTGGTTCATTGATTCATCTGTAATCCCTAATATCAAATTTTACCCAAATGATGGGAGTGCCTTTTGATGACCCCTAGCGGTTTTGGAGTTTGGATAGAAAGCTGAATTAGTGGGCATCATTTTTCTTAAGTAGTAAGCCGGTTCATGTGTGCCGAGCATCATTTGTTTACCTCTTAATAGTTCCATTATGAGAGCCTCTTAATCATTCTGACCACTTAATCATTTTGTCCCAAACCATTCAACAATTGCCAAACAGCCCCTAATATCATGAACTACCTTCAATTGCCATACATATTTTATGGCATTTCACCCCAAGCCTTATCATAAACTACCTTCAATTGAGTGAGTTTGGGTACCTCAAATTGCTTTATGTTATTTGCAGATTAGCTCTAATGTGATAAGTTGGTTACGTTCAGCTCGTATATGCTCCAACTTAAGAAAGAGTGTTACGGGAGTGCGATAATTAAATATTTTTTTCGTTTTACTTCAGTTTTTTGTATTTGTTTAAAGGGATTCTTCCCATAATTCCTTAACTCTGATTACATGTTCAAACTTAGGGGCCATTTACTAAATAGTAAACACTTACTTGGCAAGTGTTTACCGGATAAATTTCCTTATTGGATGCACATGTGCCAAGAATCTTACCGGGTAAGAGCAATGAGAATGATGGAGAGTCTTACCCGGTAAGTGAGGATAACGACTCTTACCCAGTAAATTGTTGCATTCGATATGTTTTGATGTACTAAAATCTTGCTTATCAAAATAAATCATAGTATTGACTCATATCGGTAAATACTTACCGAGTAAGCAATCAGGTAAACGGCCCCTTACTTTCTTTCCATAGCTAGCAAGAGATGTGTTTAGCATTAATTTTTGGTTATTCTTGCATTGCTGTGCTTGCTGTTATGTACCTGGTGCAATACATGCCATCTGTTGGATTTTGGCTGATGGATAAGGTACTTCCTTCTTTTTAGGCTTGTTTTATTTATTTACTATAATAAAGGACAAAATTGCATAAAAAAGTAACGTACTTTAACTTGATTCTTATTTTGGGTAATATACTTTCAAAAATTTCATTTTGGTACCTAAGATGTGAAGTTTTAAACATTTAAGTACCCGGGTAACCGGTTGAAGCATTAACCGATTACCATGCTGATGTAACAAGTGATGTGGTATCCGGTTAATGCTTTACCAAATAATACTGAGTTGTATACCACATCACTTGTCACATCAACATGGTAACCGGTTAATGCTTCAACTGCTACCCGGGTACTTAAATGTTTAAAACTTTACATCTCAGGTATCAAAATGGAAGTTTTGAAAGTATGTTACCCAAAATAGGAATCAAGTTAAAATATTTTATTTTTTCATGCAATTTTCCCTATAATAAATAAATAAAAAAGAATAATAAATAAATATAAATAAAACAAAATCAAAAAGAACAATAAATAAATATGAATGAAAAAACTTATGTTCATGGGTTTTCTCAACTGCAAAGAGAAAACCACTTCTGTTGGAAGTTTTTATAGAAACAAAGTACTCATAGTTACCAAAGGGCCTTTGGTCTAGCAGTATCGTAACCTTTGGCCTCCTAGGAGGTCCGAGGTTCGAACCTCAACAAAGATGAGGAGGGTGTGTGAGTTTATTTGTTGCATTTGTCGTATATAAATATTATATATACTTAAAAAAAAGTACTCATAGTTACTCCCAACTACTTTATTCTTTATCGTAAAGGTCAGGTCTCTTTATACCCCGCCTTTCCAGATCCCACCTCTTTTGGTTTGGTTTAAAGCGATCGTGGTTGCTGATCGTGGTTGCTGTTATTCCGTATCCTCTTAGAGCATCCCGAACGATAAGCTTTTCTTTTGAGCTTTTTTAAAAAAAGTGAGACCCACAAGCTTAGCGGGTTACAATTATAAGTGGGACCCAAAAAACTTTTTCACTATCTTATGTGGCCAAAAAACCAACCCCCCCCCCCCCCCCCTTCAAAATGAAAATAGCGCACCGTTTTAGAAATATGTAATTATTACATTTTTTAAACAATCAAAAGACACTTTTGTCCTTGATAATAGAGAGAAATTTTATCCATATCATAATTAAGGGTAGGATGAGAAATTGGAAATTTACTTTTGAAAGTGGATATTTATTTTGGGACAAACTATAATAGAAATGTGGACACTTAATTTGGGATGGAGGGAGGTATTTAGTAACGATCTCCAAAAAGCTCCCTTGTAGATGCTCTTAGAATCATAAAACCGCTAACTCTATCATCATTAATGTGAAACGACTTCAGATTGGGGCAAAACGAGTCAAAACAGCTGCACAAAAGGGCAACACGTATTCAATGAACCTACTCTTCGGTCGAAAGAAGGAATAGATCGGTCTTATCTCATCGGTCTCATGATGGCATTAATAGTTTCAGTACATTTAGTTGTATGGTTCTTATTTTTGCAGTAACATTTCCTTTTAATCTTATTTTTGCAGTAACATTTCCTTCAATATTTGTAAGTACTAGCACACGTGACATGGTAGTCAGCCCAATACATAATCCCGGTTAGAGATGGCCGAAATGGCCGCCCCGGACCAATTTGGCCATTTTCAGATTTGGCCCAATTCATGGCCTAGTCGGTGGTGGTGCCATGAGCCGTTGCCCCCTCCCCCCTAGGGGGGCAGACCTGCCTATGGTTTTATTGAACTCTGGATACAAGACTGTCTAAATACAAGACAAGTCTTGGGTTTGATCCTGGGCTTTTGGCAAGTAGCGCAGTTGACAAATGAGTGAGACGATTTTATCCAAATACAAGTCATAAGAGTTCCTATAATTGTTTGGTTTTCTTC